CACAATGCATATACACGACACACACACACTGCACACACTATATATACAGGACAAACACACACACACACATCGCCGGCCGCCGCCCTGCACAACAATCATCGTTCGCAGCAGCAGCCGCTGGTCGCCAGAGCCCACTATCACGCCGGATCAGAGCCTGCTGAAACGCCGCCGCCGCCGGAGCTTGATGTTAGCAAACACGAACAGGATGACCGCGGTACAACCATCCCATAGGCCGACCTCCGACGTCTGCCGTCGTCGGCACGCTCTCCGCCGCTATAAGCCGCCATCACCTGCGCAGCGCAGGGCCGCTGCTCGCTGCACGTGAAAACCTCCGATCACCGCTGTAGCTGGCGCCGGAGATTACAAACGCTGTCGCCACCGTTTCTTTTCGTCCGTCAACTCATCGGCTCAATTCCGACATCGAAAAGGTCACCTCGAATGGCAATCCCAACCGGAGAAGATCGTCTACGGCGGCACGTCATCTCGTCCGGGCAGTTCACACGACAAAGGCGGCAGCCAAAATGGCCTGACAGAAGTGAGTATTTATTTTGGGACTAGGAGCGTGTTGATAAAAAAAATTGATAATTAATAGGGACTCAATTGCAATTTTAAGGTTTTTTTGTCATATTTCAATTTAGCCCACGAGCCAAATCTGTAATTTATCAAAAATATAAAAAAATATTATTTTTTTTACATTTTCTTATACTTATATTGTATATATTATATTACATATTTTTTACTTAAAAAAATATATAATATATATATATATATAAATAATTAAATACTAAAATTTACTTTTATAATAATAATAATAATAAATATTTTAATTATTTAAGCTAACTCAATTAATCAAAAGAATAATTCAGTTATTTTGTAGTCCAATTTTAGTGTGGATTGACACATAAAAGAATCCGGACTAAATGCACAATATTCACAAACGTTATGCACGAACTTGACTATCAAAATGCACTATAACGTTAGACCAAGTGAATATTAAAGCGTTTGAGATTGCACGTTAGTACAACAATTTGCATTTTGCACCAATATTAAAATCTAGATTGTTTCATTCCAATTTCCACCTTATATACAAACTAAATAAATAAATAAACGAATATCGAAACCGATCAAAATATATAAAAAAAATATTATTTACATTTTAAATATACATATATTATTTTATTTTCAATAAAAAAATAATGTAGAAATTATATAAAAAATTGTAAATGCTAATTAAATTTTTATTATTCAAATAATTTGATAAACGAATAGTAATATAATTTAATATTGCATTATTAAAGATTTCTAACGTCGAAATGCACAAAAAAGTGATAAATAAAACTATTCGCTTAATAGACTGCACATTAATGTTAACCTAAATGCACATTTGTGTATATGAGATTGCACATTATCGATTTTGATATTTTGTATATTATGTTTTTCAATCAATAATAATATAAAAAATATTATTAAGTTATTAAAATACTAAATGAATTTTTTCAATCAGCTGCTACCGCTGTTTTCTTGATCTACCCAATCGGTCAAGGAAGTTTTTCTGATGGTGAATAAATCAGGTAATTCGTTCAGTTTTAATTTGGGTTGGGACAAAATTTCTATCTATTTAGACGGCACAATAACGACATAAACCGTGCACAATAGTATAAGATGTATTGCACATTAATGACTGTCGGGCTGCACAATAACAACAAATCGACCAAAATAAAATTCTTGGTTCATTTTTTCATATTTCAATTCGATTATATGTTTTCTATTTTTATTTAAATTTGGTTATTTCCACCAATATACATACATATATAAATATATATATGTGCGTGTGTGTGTGTGTATGTATAAATAACTAAGGGGGTGATTGTATATGAATTGAATAGTAAAAAAATCAATCAAAACTCAATTTTAACTCAACTCCACTATCATCAATATTATCAACATAATTAAATAATATCAACCAATCATTTTTACACATCACATCAACTTTAATTCACTATTCATCCACTCACATAACTCTAACTAACTATCACTTCCAATCATTTTTATCCTACTTTACATCAAATCAACTTTAATTATTATATTTAAATATTATTTTAATATATCCACTAACAACTAATCATACTATTTTTTTTTTCAAAATTAACTATAGTTAAAATCAAACCAAATAAAAACTAGTTCAATCCATAAACAATCACCCCCTAAATAATTTATAAAATAAAAATGTTAAAATGATAAAATTTCAATGTCAATCGAAGACCACAATTGTGCGTTATCATTTTGGTATTTTTTTGAATTTTTAATGTGCATATATCCATACACTATCGTGCACTGAGTTGAGAACTGAAAAATGAATAGTATTTTGTAATTATTAATTTTGTAATAAATTGCATATTTAAACAATCAATAAAGATGAAATATAATTAAGTTTTTAAAAAACTAAATTGAATAACCACAAGTTATATATCAATATTTAATATTTATTAGATTTTTAGTTAATTATATAATTAATCAATAATTATATTGCTTTATAATGAAGTATTTTTTTTCAGAATTGCAAAATGGTCTCTATAGATTATCTAATTTTCCTACATAACATACAAGCTCCATTTTCAGATCTAAAACAATACAACACGTCCGACCATTAACTTTTTTTTTTCTCCGCCGTCACTTTCAGTCGCCGCACTGCCGTCCTCGACTCACACGCACGACGGAGCCGCCGTCGGACCTAAGAACTGCAGGAACGAGAAGCCCAAGCAGATAACTTTGGTCGACCTCCGTCTGCCGTCGAGACGTCTCGCTTCTGTTCGTTGCCGACTCGCGTCGCCTCCATCCGCGGCCTCGTCCCATCGTCCCCGTTAGCCTACTCGACGCCTCGCCGCCGCGCCGCCTCGCCGCCTCGCCTCCATCTATCGGAGTGGCTCGAATGTTGGATGCAGGTACCGTCGGAGACGATGGCGGCGACAGGCTATGGAGACGGCGACTGACAGCCGGAGATGACGGCGCCTCGATTGGACTGATGGCTATGGCGTCGGCGTCGGAGATGATGGCGGCGGCGGGCTATGAGGACGACAACGAACGGTCAGAGAAGATGGTGGCGGCGATGGCGGTCTGGGGCTGTGTGGCACCGTGATATTGGTTGTCGGCGGGTCAGTTTTTGTGTGTGTATGTGTGTGTGTGTGTGTTCTAAGTGTGTGTGTGTGTGTGTGTGTGTTTCTATAAAAGTAGTGTGTGTTGTGTGTGAGAGGTGGGAGATGGGTAGGCGACATTTGGGTTGTTAGAGGATGGTGGGTGTGGGTCCTAGGTTGGCATTATTTATAGTGACCAATTTTCCCTTAATTAGTGGTCAAATACACATATTGACCATAATATTACTACTTATTTACTATATTGTCATTCATGATTGACCATTACTTATTAAAATTTGAATTGATCATGACCATATTGATGGATTGATCTAGTGGTCCATAATAATTCTTATTTCTTTCACTGTGTTTCATTCTCATTTGGCCGTACTTCTATAACAATATATACATATATATAGGATAAATTTTAACTTCTGAATTTCTTGCAATCAAAATATGACGTCATTTCCCAGAAAGCCAAGAACCAAAACATCTAACTCGAAAATCTTGAAAAAACTCCAATGATGCCCGCATCATATTTGAAGGCATAAGGAACACTAAAGAATCATCTGAAATCTCTACTCACACGTATTAGAATTTTTTTTTAAAGTCAATCTATGCTATTCAACGAAATACCACATTTCCCTGACCCTACAACCTCAAAACACAACTTATCCACCATTTCATTTAACTTCGACCCACTAAGAGCATCTCCAATCCGAGTCCGACGTTCCATATGATGGACAACCAACACCAGAGTCTCCGCGATTGTTGTCCTTTAGTCCTCCACAAAGTGACGATGGTGTTGGTGGAACATCCTCTCAACGTCCAATGGGAGCAAAGAAAGCAAAATTGAAGAAGAAAAACGAAGACCAATATTGCCAATATTTTCAAACTCAATGCTAAAAGTGATACTATTGTTGATTTGTTGCAGAAAACCGAAGAACGTCAAAATGTCCAGATTTGAATGCAGAAACAACAAATCGAGTTGCAGAAAAGGAGGGATGAATGATCGATTTGAATTCCCTCACGAATTCCATGATTCGTCGACATTGGGAACAAAGACAAATGCTAAATTTTACAAGAAAGAGAAATTGAGCAACAACAATCTCAAGTAACACCACCATCATCTAACACGGATCAATTTGGATTTCTCGACGACATCGGGCATGCCAGAAGAAATTTGAATGATTATTATGGTGACAATTAAGTCTATTAAATCGTCTATTTTATAATCCTTTTTAGTTTTTATGTTCCGTATTAATTATCGTTGTTGTACTATGTGTGAGCTTTAAGATGGGTTTTTTAGTTTATCTTTATGTTTTGGTTTTAATTTTAGTGTTTGTACCGATAATTTATAGTGAGTTGAATGGTTATCCTTATTTTGTAATTTTAACTTGTTTGTTTGTAATATTTACTTAAGAGACTTTGAATACTAATTAATATTCTATCATAATAATTAATAAATTATTCAATTTTTCATTACACTAATTAAAATCCTACCATGTTAATTACAATAATTAAGTTTAAAACATGTAGAAAGATATTTTAATTCAATCATAAAACTAATTAATCCAATTAGCCAAATTATAATTAAAAAGCCCAACCAAAATACATCTAAATGGGCTAAAAATACAACCCCATTTCATTTTTTTTTTTTTTAAAAAAAAAGATGAAGCGGGTGAACAGTGGAACGGTTGCCAAACCGTTCCACAAAATTGGGCATGCCCTTTCCGCCAGATGAAGAGAGTGGGTTGGAGAGGATTTTCCACCACAGTTTCCGTTTCCGTCATATATGCAGTACGGGTTGGAGATGCTCTAACAAACAACCTACGCCACCAACTTTCAAACGTCTTACTAAGATTCGGGCACTCATTCCCATGCCTTGAGAAACGACTGAACCATTCCAGAAATAGCCCGTACTGCTCCTTCAATGGCAAAGTAAGCACGGCCTGGCCCATGCCCTCCTCCAAGCCCGCATGTCCAAGCCTTTTTGCACCTCCTCAGCCACCCGAAATCACAAAGCATCGGCTCAAACCATTTCTGAACAAACCCCAACCTCACATCCAAACGGTAGTGCAAGCTTCTACAACTCATGGCAATAAAAATAATAGCTGACACCCGGCTGACCTCATACCTCACCATTGGGGACGCTTTCCTGTGAAGCTCGAGCAGCTTTTCTTGGTCAGCCCACAGTCCCACAAAGTCCTCCGCCAGCTGGCGCTCAAGCAGGATTTCGAGAAGCCAATTCAGGTTGTCGACCTGCGTCGAGATCCGCTCCAGAAGGGGTGTATCGTCTTTTTTTCGATTAACGTCCTTCTGACACGTGTCGACACATAAGGCCTCTTCGAGCAGGCCAATACACGACTGGGAGGCGGCGAGTACATCATCTTTTTTCACGTGAGGTATCAGATCTATGGATCTTCAGATAAAGTGAAAATACAGAAAAGGAAAATTGCGCTATATTGATTAGGGTAAAGAAATCTGAAAAGTGTTTACAAATGGAGATGAAGGGTCTATTTATACTAACTCTAGAATGACTAAAAATGTTAATAAAGAAAACAACTTTAGAAATGTGAAACACACTTTCTGTAAATGTTGTATATTCTATTACCCCCCCGCAAGAGGAGCATGGATATTTGGCATGCTCAACTTGGAGAGGAGATGATGAAACAAGGGTCCAGGTAGAGGTTTGGTGAGAAAATCAGCAGGTTGTTCTTTGGAGGAGATATGTTGTAGCTGCAGCACACCAGTAGCTATCTTTTCCCTTATCAAATGACAGTCCAATTCAATATGTTTGGTCCTTTCATGAAGAATGGGATTTGTTGCCATTGCTTGAGCAGATTTGCTATCTGTAAAAACTGAAGCAGGAGAAGAAAAAGTAATACCCAATTCTTTGCATATATTTATTATCCATTGAACTTCACAACTAGTAGCAGCCAAAGCCCTATATTCAGCTTCTGCTGAAGACCTACTAATTGTTGGCTGTTTCTTAGACTTCCAAGAGATAAGAGAATTACCAATAAAAACTAAATAAGCAGTGATACTTTTCCTTGTATCTAAACAAGAAGCCCAATCACTATCTGAAAATGCATTAATAACTAAAGGAGAATTTCTGTGAAAAAGGATACCTTTACCAATGGTACCTTTAATGTACCTGAGCACTCTGTGGGCAGAGCTGAGATGCTGTTGAGTTGGACTAGACATGTGTTGACTGAGAGCTTGAACAGAGTAAGCAATGTCAGGCCTGCTTATAGTCAGATATAAAAGTCTACCTACTAACCTTCTGTATTCAGAGGGATCAGGTAGGATATCAGTAGCATTTTTACATTTAGTCAATTTCACAGTGGCATCCATAGGAGTATGAGCAGGTTTACACCCTATCATTCCAGTGTCAGTAAGTATGTCAAGTGCATACTTCCTTTGACACATATGAATTCCATGTTCAGAATGGGCAAATTCAAGGCCTAAAATGTATTTCAATTGGCCTAAATCTTTTATAGTAAAGCAATCATGAAGATGATTTTTAATGGCAGTGATGCAAGACATGTCATTGCCAGTTAAAATAACATCATCTACATATATGAGTAAAATAGTGAAACTGTTGCCCTTTTTCATAAAAAACATGGAATTATCAGCACATGATTGGGTGAATCCATACTCTAAAAGACAGGATGTTAATTTATGAAACCATTGCCGAGATGCCTGTTTTAAGCCATATAAACTTTTGTTTAATTTACAGACTCTCTGATCAGAAGAGGAACAGTATCCAGGAGGTGGTTTCATATAAACTTCCTCAGGTAAATCTCCATGCAAGAATGCATTATTAACATCTAATTGGTGAACAAACCAGTTTTTAATAGATGCTAATGCTATAATGAGTCTAACAGTGGTAATCTTAGCAACAGGAGAGAATGTGTCAAAATAGTCTATCCCTTTTTCTTGGGTATAGCCTTTTGCCACTAATCTAGCCTTATATCTTTCAATTGAACCATCCGATTTATATTTGATTTTGAAAACCCACTTACAACCAATGCAATGCTTATCCTTTGGAAGAGTAGTTAAAGTCCAAGTATTTGTTAGTTCTAAAGCATTTAATTCCTTTAACATAGCCTCTTGCCATAATGGATCTTTTGCAGCTTGATTGTAAGTTTTTGGTTCTTGTAAAGTAGAAATGGATGCAGTAAAACAACTATGATTTGTAGATAAATGTGCAGTAGACAGATACTGAGATATAGGATAAATGGATGTACCAGGTGTGTCTGAAAGTGAATTTGTGACACAATTAGAGGAGCTGTTGTTATGTAGTGAGTGTTGGTATAGGTCCAAATAGGCAGGAGGTTTAGATACTCTGTTGGATTTTCTTATATGAGTAGATGGATGTGGTTGTTGATTTTGGTCTGTTGTTGATGGTAAAACAGAAGTTTGAGATGTTGGTGAAGGTAAAACAGGATTTTGGGAGGTAGAATGATCCTGAATTAGAGGAGATAATTGAGGTTGTGGACTGGTAATAGTCTTTAAAGGGTAGGAGTCAAATATGAAGTCTGAAGAAGGTTCAGGAAATAAAGTAGATATCTGAGATTGTATTGGCAAAGAAGTTTTGAAAGGAAATTCACTTTCATAGAAGACAACATCCCTGGAAATAAATATCTTCTTGGTATCCAAGTTGTAAAGCTTATATCCTTTACAACCTAATGGATATCCAAGAAAAATGCATTTGGATGCTCTAGGGTCAAACTTATGTCTTTTTGCCAATAATGTAGAAGCATAACAGAGGCAACCCACAACTCTCAAATGTTCATAAGTAGGTTGTTTGTTGTAAAGTAATTCAAAAGGAGACTTGTTGTTTAAAACAATAGATGGCACTCTATTTATCACATGAACAGCAGCAAGAACACAATCCATCCAAAAATGTAAAGGTAGGTGAGCATGAAACATGATTGCCCTAGCTACTTGCAAAATATGCTGATGTTTTCTTTCCACCCTAGCATTTTGCTGGGGTGTTTCAACACATGATTTTTGGTGCATAATGCCATATTGAGAAAAAAATTGAGGAATAATGAACTCTGTGCCTTTATCTGATCTAATGGCTTTGATTTTCTTATCAAACTGAGTAAGGATCATGTTATAAAAATGGAAAAGATGTTGTTTGGTTTCAGATTTGAGCATCATTGGATAAATCCAAGTGACTCTACTAAAATCATCCACTATGGTGAGAAAATATTTATGTGCAGAATGAGATGGAACGGAGAATGGTCCCCATATATCACAGTGGATTAAGTCAAAAGGATTATCAGATTTTGAAACACTTGTGGGAAAAGAAAGTCTTTTCTGTCTGGAAAAATGACATACATCACATGCATTTATGCATTTTATATTGTCCCGAGCAATAGGTAATGTGTACAGTTTAGAAAAGGACAAATGCCCTAATCTGTAATGCCACAGTGCATTGTCATTGAATGAAGCTTTTACAGGTAGAGATGGATGTACAGTATCAGCAACATTTATAACAGAGGAAGTTGTGATGTGTGACATAGTTACAGGTGAAGGAGAAATAGAATGAACAGAGTTAGATGATGAATGATGCTCATGTGAGGGAGATGGCTGAAGAATGTACAAGCCATCAACCAGGTCAGCAAAACCAATCATTTTGTGGTTTGTTAGATCCTGTAAAATACAAGATGATGCTAGAAATTTGATAACACAATTATTTGAAGCAGCAAGTTTGGAAACAGAAATTAGATTGAACTGAAATGATGGAACATAAAGTGCATCATGTAATGTGATAAATGAATTTAGACAAACAGTGCCCATTTGAGATGCAATAGTGGTATTTCCATCAGGCAAATTCACAGATATTGATGTGGATGTGATAGAAGATGTAAAAAATTCAGGAGTGCAAAGCATGTGATCTGTTGCTCCAGTATCAAGGATCCAAGTGTGTTTATTTAATTTTCTGTGAACTGTGCATGCTAAGGTGTTAGAGATACCTGATGTATGAGCAAGAGCAGTAGCCACCACAGGAGTTCTAGGTTGAGTTTGTTGCATTTCCTGTGACTTTTTAAATGCTAAGAAATCACTAAACAAACTGTCAGTAATGGTGGTATTGCCATCAACAGGTTCATCAATGTTATGCACAGGGGCAATATCAGAAGCAACAGCATTAGCAGAGTGAGAATTTGTGTGTCTTGGACCTTTAGGACCCACCCAGTTTGGAGGGTAACCAACCAATTGATAGCATTTGTCATAGGTATGACCTAAGTAACCACAATGAGTACACTTTGGCCTTTTTCTGTCTTTGGAGAAGAAAGGCGGTTTGGTTGGTTTATTTGTTTGGTTGGACTGAAACTGAGTTTTGGCAAGCATAGCAAGAGTGTCAATGTTCTTAGAATTATTGGACAGGTTCCTTTGGCTCTCTTCTTGCAGTAGTAAGGAGTATACAGTGGATAGAGAGGGAAGAGGAGTGGATAACAGAAAATGACTCCGAAGGGATGAGTAAAAATCATTCAACCCAATCAGGAACTTCATGACAGAATCATTATGTTGAGCAGTAGTCATTGAGTCAAATATTTTGCAAGTGCACGAATTACAAGCACCACAGATGCATTTAAAAATCGGCCGATAAGTCACATATTCATCCCAAAGCGATTTAAAAGAGTTGTAGTATTGGGTGACAGAGAGATTGCCCTGATCAATGTTACTCAAGGATTTTTCCAATTGAAAAACACGAGGACCAGTAGAAAGAGCATATCGAGACTTAATTTCTACCCAAACATCTTGAGCAACAGTAAAGAACAATAAGGATTGACGAATATCTTTGTGCACAGAATTTAACAACCATGAAAGGACAAGGTTATTGGCTCGTACCCAAGCAAGCGAAGCAATAGGATCCTGAGTAGGGTTAGGAACAGAAATAGTACCATCGACAAACCCTAGTTTGTTTTTGACGCTGAGTGCCATGGATACGGCTCGCGACCATGAGAGATAGTTGTCACCGTTGAAAACTTCGGCGACGATTAAGGCTCCGGGATTGTCACTGGCGTGGAGATAAAATGGTGATGAGGACTGTTTTTCTCGTTGACCGAGCTTTTGCATAATAGTCCTTTGACTAAAGACTTGAGCTTGTTTTTCGCATTGGCATCTGTGCAGGTGATGACGGACCAAATAAGCTGCTTGGTCAGAGTTTGTTGGGCGTTGATGGCATTATCGTTAAGATTTGTTAGGAGTCTATCTAAAATATCCACAGTTTTAGCATCATCGATTTTTATTTTACCAAACAGGTCCCTCAGCTTCTTCTCTTCTTCCTCTGTCCATGGTACTGCCTCGATGCAATTTAGACACAAAGAAACACACCTATAAAACTTAATCCCTGCCGAGACCTGCCATCACATGTAAACTTGTATGAATAGGACTGCTGGAAAAGGGGACAGTTTCACATATAAACATTCATTCGTGTTGTTTAGTTTTCTATATACGCTTGAACATATAAATTCCAAAGAAAAACCACACTGAAAGTCAAGTAATGAACAACTGAGGCAATAAATGCAATAATGTTTCATGATAGTATTTTTCAGTGAAATGGTCGGATTAACAGATTAGGAAGTGATAATCACTTATGACTTAATAAATTTGAGCCCAAGAGAATAAAAGGAAAAGGTGTAAACAAATTCAACAGTTGCAAATTCATGATCTTAAGGCCTTTCTGTCAAGTTTAAACCGCATACTGCCTCAATACGGTTCAGCCAAGACACACCTTGCTTTCGATCAGGATAAGTGAACTTTTTAACTGACTGCAAACATCTTATGTATCAAAAACATGTAGAAGATGTTACAGTGCATGTCACTCAACTTGGTTTTTATTTCACTCATGCAACTAGAGGAATCACTTTTGCATTTTTTTCGACCAAAATGTTAAAACCCACAGTTACACTTGAGGTGGTGTGGAGAAACAATACAAAAGATTAAATGCGGTCACAAATTTCCGGTCATCTTCATTTCAAGTGGCATTACAGACCCCATTCATTCAGAACACAAGTAAAATTAAAAAATTGAAATGGTGATGCACTGAAAGCCTCCCACTCAGAACAAAAGAAAATCAAAATCAGCCCCAACCATTTTGTTTAGTAAGAACCAGATTTCAATTTACAAGTTATTGACTTTCAGTTCAAGCAATGCCTCTCTCCCTCTTTCAGAAACAATAATACATTTTAATTGACTAAGTTACACTAGGAACAAAGAAAATTATTATTTGAAAAAAAAAGAAAAAAAAAACCTTATTCAGATCTACATGAAAGGGAAACTGCAAATTCCAACCACACTGCCACAACACAAGAAAATGATTTAGAATAAAATTTAACATCCTAAAACCAAGGTTGTCAAAACCGAACCGGTTCGGACCGGTCGAACCGGTTTAATTAATATATAATTATTTTATTTATTTTATATGTATAATGTATAGTTGTATATATTTTTATCATTAATTTTATAGTATATAATGACATTTTTCTAAATAAGAGTTCAATAATTAATATCCTATTTGTATTTTATCATAAAAAATACTAGTTTCAACACAACTTACAACTACAGGTTAGTAATTTGTATTTTGTATTTTTAAATCGAATTTTAATTATTTTTATTTTCAGTTTTCATTATGTAAAGAATAAAAAAATAAAAATTAATTTTGAGCTTTGATTGTGATTAAAATTAAAAATTGCTACACATGTATGTTGGAATGGTGCATAATAATCATAGAAAGACAATAATGAAAAAAAAAATAAAAATAAAATGGTGCATAAGTCATACAAAGATGAAAATATAAAAATAATGGAAGGAAGAACTTCAAGCTCAAGATTTGAACTTCCAACCTACTACATGCATAACACAACTCCTACCACTAGGCTATAGAATAGATATTGCTTATAAATAGAGATTATTTGTTTTGTATAAAAAAAGCACATGTAAGTTACTTATCCCACATTAAAAACACATCAAAAAACAATCAGCTTTATAAACAACAACAATTAAACTATCTGATAAAGTCCTGAAGAAAGCCGTTGTCCCGCGTGAGCCGCCTCCGGTTTTTCGGTATTTTGGATTTTACCGATTTTCAACCGGTTCGACCGGTTCGTTTCCGGTTTTGGACCCAGGCGGTAATATGCCTCGAACTAGACAGGTATGCCGACCAGTTCCCACTTGAACCAGTTCAACCGGCCGGTCCGGCTCGGCTCTAACAACTATGCCTAAAACGCATTTCAATTGCTAAACATCGGAACCAAGAAATGCAGAACCTTGTTTACTTGTTCCAACGGAAATGTAATACCTCAAGTATATCAATAGCCCTAAACACCCCAATCTTGAGGAGCTGCTTTGAAATATCCTCCTCGAACATGAGTTCAATCGTTTCCCTAAAGACATCCAAATTCTCCACATCCGACACTTGGATCATACACAATCTGCTCACATTCTTGCAATAATCAGCAACCAAGTTGGGAAACACAAGGCTATTGGCGGTCAAAACCTCCGAAGCAAGCTTCAGAACCAAGGATTCCCCGTTCTTCCCCTTCAGACTCAACCTCGCGTAAAAAACCCCAAAACTACCCCCCGCGGCAGTGATTTCCGAGTCAATGGTGGCAGGGGATAAGGGTGATTTAGGAAGAGCTTGCTTTCGGCTTTGAGTAGTCATGGGGCGGTCAGAAATGGGGGAGACCCGACCTGGGAAGAGAATCCGGCGGGCGAGTGGGGTGGGCTTCTGGATCGGAGCGGAGGAGAAAGATGAAGTTATCTCAGCCTTTTTATTATAGGAGGACGAGGCGTGGGAGTTTGGAAGGGCCGGGTTGTCGGGACTGAGTGAGGTTGACCCGTGGCGGCGGGGTTGTTGAGGCGGATCGCAGTGGCGGTGGTGGTGGCGGTACTTCAGATGCTTGGAATCGTGCATAGCCAGTGAACGGGTGTGGGAGGATAATCCGATTATCCGTGAAGTTGGACTATTATTTGTTGGTGGGGAGATTCCAATTTAATGCCTTATTAGGGTCTCTATTAAAGCCTAAAAATACACCTATCCTCTAGTTTCCAAGACATAACACACATAGAGATATCTAAATTCTCCTTCCACCAAAGGAGTTCTAGAGGTGTTAGGTAATTCAATAGAAGGCCTTAGGGTAATTGAGCACACGAGTCAACCCGAGCACCCGACCACCGTCAACCGCCGATCATCACCGAGCACTGCCGCGGAAGACGACCCGAGTTCACCGGAGACGCCCGCGGCGACATTCTCTTTCGCAGCAACCACACGACGCTGCCTTGCTACTCCCGGAGATCACCCACTGTACCCGGCGATGCCATGACCTGACGCGACCTGCTCCCTGCGACGTCGTGTGACCGCAAAGTCTATTTACATGTCATGTAAGCAAAATTAGACCCAAAGCATTATGCATGCTCTTAGGCTACGTGAGTCCTGGGCCAAGAATTCACATAGCAAATAATTGTACAACAAATCAATTCAAGTTGATATTCTTTTGAGAAAATTACTCGTGGCACGAGACCATTTTCTTTTATTTGTTAATTAATGAAACTAATTATTTATTTACAAACATACGAGATTGGACATATAATACAAAATTAATTAATCTGTTTACCTACAATCACGGATCCATCTTATTTTGTAGGGTGAGTGGGCAGATTTTTTAGAATAAGTTAGTATCAAAAGCCAATCTCTTTATTTATTTTTATTACTTCAATTTCTTCTATTTTGGGAAGAAGATTATGCCCTGAACAATGTTCCAATTTTGTTGAAGACGAAGATCTCGACATATTTAAAATTTGATCTCACCAATTGTTTTGCTCAGACACCAACGTAAATACAAATATATACGGTATATCAACAACAAATATACTTATGAATTTGGAACATACCTTTGCAACCGAACAACAATAAACAAGATCAAGTATATTTTCGGTATATAAAACATAGACAAATGTGTTCTTAGTTGTACATATACATAAAGGATACAAAAAATATACACTCGAGTTTCTCATAATTCAAACCAGCGGTAGATCGAAACACACATATACATAAAATATACACTCGAGTTTCTCGTTGTTCAAACCAGCGGCAGATTGGGAGACATATACATAAAATATACAATCGAGTTTTTCGTAATACCTATAAACTAATAATAATCGTACAATAAACATTAAAATCTAAAAGTTCTCATAAACCCCAACACAAAATTCTCAAAAATTCACGATCAGCACATAAAAAAAATTCCCAATTGATGGATAAAAAAATTCACGATCGTTGAGCCACCAACAGTTCTTCTATCTTTCATGACATAGTAAACTGGCGTCCTCTTGGCCGTATTCCAACCAAGCCGATCGAACGCATCTCGTCTGCCGTCAAACGACTCAACACAACTGCTTTCTCTTCTACATAACAAAGTTTTCGAAACCTCGTTTTTAACAATAAATCGAGGAGATTGATCTATAGTAAATCACCATGGGGAAATTGATGAGGGTATTGATTGAAATTGAGCATAGAAGTTCTGGAATTGAGGAGCCGAATTCGGAAACGGGTTGTTGCTGCAGTTATCTGGTGGGATTAGGGCTCAATTTTTCCAATCAAGAGACGATGAGGAATGCGGCCGAACCCGCCGGTCGCCGCCACTGAACAGAACCCCTGAATCGTCTAGGGTTCGGTAACTGCGCCGCTCCCAGATCCCGTTGACGCCGGTTGCAAGGTCGCCCTCAGCTGAAGCTACCGATCTCTCCATCGTTCTAGGGAGCCTGCCGCTAGGATAACCTGCGTGAATAAAGAGAGGAAATTGGGATGAAAGGAGAGAGCTGGAAGAAAAAGAAAGAGGGAAAGAAATCGGGGGAAGAAGAAAAATGAAAGAGAGAGGAAAGAGAAAGAGAGGTGTTATGTTTATCTAAATATTTTGATTAGAGTTGGTCGATATGCAAATAAGATTTTAATTTTGTAATTATTTCACTACAAGAGCAGTATGTATGTAAATTGGCTTATTCTTTTTCCTCTAAGCCCAATTCTTAATAAATCGTGGCCCAAATAAATTGAGTTAATAATCGATGTTGGGCCTAAACCTGGAGTGAAATTCGGGTCTATAATTGATCGCGTGAACTTCCGTACAATGCTTCACAACCATAAAATACTCCCAAAATATTGAAAATAACACAAATACCTCAAAGCAAATAAATCTATCCAAATAATAAATAAGTAAAAAAATGTAAACGTGCTAATAAAATTAAGTGTATAAAAATACACTATTAAATATAGAAAATACATACTTTTTCTAACCAATTAGTGGTCCATAGGTTGCGTCCACATTAATGGATTGAAAGTGAGTCACGTTGTCGGAACGTGATATTTCCGGCCAAAAATTCCCAAAATTGACGGTAGAAGGACTTAAATTGCGTCAAAATTTTTAATTGTAGTACTCAATGTGCCACATAACTTTCCTATAGAACTAAAATTGACCGTCTATTTGAAAGTCAGGACCAAAAATGCATTTTAACTTAAATTTTGTTAGGCCGTGCTAGTTTATAAATAAAAAAGACTAAGGGGCTTGTATTCAATTGAGATTCTTAAAGACTTTTTAAAACTTTTTAAATTTGGTGACTTTTGTGGACTTTGTAAAACTTTCATGACTTTGGTAGACTTGTTGAGATTTTCAGAGAATTCTCATTAGTGACTTTTTGAGACTTTCATAATGGACTTTTTAAAACTTATTGAGACTTTTATATACTTGTAGTTATAATATTATGTTTGAATGAAATATTAATAAACGTAACATAACAATTAATATCAAGAAGAATAAATGAAAAAAAAAATATTTTATATATTAATCCTATAAAAATTTATGAATCAACTCATTGTTATGCGAAATGAGTTATTCACTAACAAAGTGTTTAGGATTTTAGATTTATTAAACGAGCAAATCAATCCGAGCTTCAACGAGTCAAAGTATGGAAGATACAAACATTGTCGAAAAATAGTAATTGTATTTTATAAAGTTATCGATAATATTCAAAATAATTCAATATCAACAAATAAACTATTAGAAAATAAAATAATTTTATTAATATTAGAAAATAAACATTGACAACTAAAGGGAGGGGTGGGTTATTTTTATATAAAAAAAATATGTGGCAAAAAATAAAAAATAAAAAAAATGTTGTGGACAAGAATCAAACGGGCAGATTCTGGAAATCCATTTTCCTAATAAAAATTTTATTAGAAAAATGGATTTCCATAATCCGTTATCTATTTTTTAATTTTTTTTAAACAAAAACGGATTTCCATAATCCGTTTTTATTTTGTATTTATTTTTTTTAAAAGAAAACAGTCGAATTTAAAAAAAAAAATTAATTTATAACACGAATTTTCAAAATTCGTGTTTAATTAAAAAATTATAAAAAAAAGGGTAAAACGGAGTTTGGAAATCCGTTTTTTACTTGTTAAAAAAAGCTGCGAGATCCTCCCTGACCACAGAAACAGCTCCTCTCTCCCTCTCCCCTTCTTATCTTATCTTCCCAAATTTTTTTATCTTTTGCTCGCGAATTCAAGCTCCATTACAAAAAAAACAAATTTTCAACCAATCGTCAAAGAAGAGGTTAGTTGTTATTTTAATATAATGTAATATTATTTTTTTTTTTGTTTATGAATGTTTAAGAGATATATTTGGTTAATTTAGTATTGTTTAGAAAATCTTGAATGTTGGTTTAATGTATGTTGAATATTTATCCGAATTGTTTATGAATTTGATGTTATTGTTGGATTATGGTGATTAGGGTTTTGGTAGTGTTTTTGATAAATTAATTGACAATTTTTTTTGTTGGAGAAAATATGATTAATTATATGTTGTTGTTGGAAATGAGTTTTGAATTTAGATTGGTAAAATAATAATTGAAATTTTCTCGGGTGTTTGATTAGCCATTATGTGTTGTTGTAACTTGTAAAATAGAAATTTTTTTTGTGCAACAGGTTATAAATGGCGCCTAACGGTCCCTACTTTGTTAATGTGTATTGAAAAATTCCCCAGAGTGAGTTATGGAATTTTTAGAATTATATGTCTCGTCCGGATTGTTCATTTGTTATTAATGGAATAATATCATATGAACAATTGGTAGATATGATTTACGAAAATGGTGGGTTTCGTGATAGTTGGACAATTTCGGATATTACTTTAATGGCCAGACAAGCGGATGGTTCATTTATTCCCGGAAGACTGAATAATGATAGTGCTCTTTCGTGGATTTACTTCTTTTCTCCTATGTCCTATGTGTTTTTGTATATAGTGTTGGAAGCAAACACACAGGTTACACAGGTTGAGGATCCTACGCCATCATATGGTTACGGGGGAGTGTTTGGTGGTGAGGGTACGTGGACTACGCATGCCGGTAATTTTGGTGAAGGGACGAGTAATTTCGGCGAAGGGACGAGCTTTACCATGAGAGGATCGGACATTGAGGAAGAAATTGTTGGAGATGAAGATTTTAGTCCCGGTGAAGACGATTTCACTGATGAGACCTCGAGAACCGAATCGGGCAGATCAATTAATGAGGAGAGCGAACAAGAATTCATTGAAGAACACCCCTTTGCAAATGAAGGCCTCCACGATTATCGCGAGATGGATGAGTGGGACTCATCGTGTGTAGACAGGGACGAGTATGCCTTGCCAATCTGGAATGGGCATGTCGAGACTATCTGTTTGGGTACAGTTTTTCGTACCAAGGAAGATGCCCGGACTTGTATTCTGGCGTGGAATGTTGAGAATCTTAGGGCGGTCCGGACAAAATATTCCAACAAGAAGTCGTTCAAAGTTGTGTGCAGATCAGCTGAAGTTGTACCATGTATATGGAAGGCTCGAGTGAGTCTTAACAAACGGGATCACGACATGTGGGAGGTAACCGAATGGACCG